TGTTTTTTGGTTTTCCAGCCTAGCCAATCTGTACTCATCTCTGACCAACTCCTTTGCCATCCAATTGTGACTTTAGGAAGTTTCCCCTGACTTTCACTTTGGCTTTTGTGTCTGCCCTCCACATCTTGACCTATCATCCTCATCCCTTCCTCTTTTATGTGTTGCCGACTCTCCTGCAATTTACTTCCTGTCCAGACGAGTGTTTATTAAGACTTTTCTGTCCTTACCGAAATGCTTATAGGCTCACTTTTCTACCCTCCTGTGTTTGACCAGCAGCTGTGGTATATTGTAAAAAGCAGTGACCAACACAGTATTGAAGGAGAACAAACTGGGAAGACTGACAGTGCCCTACTTCAAGACTTACTATAAAGCTACGGTAATCAGGACAGTGTGGTACTGGTGAAAGAACAGACAGACCAGTGGAACAGAAGAGAAAGCCCAGAAATAGAACCACACAAATATAGTCAACTGCTCTTTGACAAAGGAGCAAAGTCAATACAATGGAGAAAGGGTAGTCTGTTTAACACTTAGTGATGGAACAATTGGACATCCACATGCAAAAAAAAAAGCACTCTAGACACAGACTTTTCACCCTCTGCAAAAACTGACTCGAAATGGATCATAGACCTCAATGTAAAACTTCAGTGGTTACGATGGAGGGTGAGATGAATAGGTGTAGCACAGAGGATTTTGGGGGCAATAAACTATTTTGTATAACACTGTAATGGTGGATATGTATCATTATACATTTGTTGAAACCCATAGAATGTACAATACCAAGAGTTAACCCTCATATAAACTGTGGACTTTGGGTGTCAATGACGCAGCAATGTAGGTTCATTGATAGCAACAAATGTACCCCTCGGGTATAGGATGCTGAAAATCAAGGAGGCTCTGAATGTGTGGGGTTGGGAGGTATATGGGAGCTCTCTACTTCCTCTCCATTTTGCTGTGAACTTAAAGCTGCTCTAAAAATAAAATCTGTTAAAGGAAAAAAAAAAGTATTTAATCATTACCAAGTTCTCCTAGGGGAGAAGGTAGCAGAAAGGCAGAGAATTAGTGTGCCCCCAGGATCAGATTCCAAAGGGAAAGCAAGCACTCTCATCTGGGTAATGTTATTGTTTATTCAAAATTAAGAAACATGAACTAAGTAGCTACCTGTAAGGGGTACATTGCTGGATGGTTTGAGATGGGAGATACAAAGCGCAATAAGAATCTAACCCTTGTTCACTGTAGGGAGTGGTGAGGTTTAGGACACACTACCCCCAAATATGGCACCTTGGCATGGTGAATATTTCAAGCTGAAGGAATCTGAGAAATGGCATGTGCAAGAAGGAGCTTCTGACCTTCCCCTGAAGCAGGTCATACAAACCTCATGTGAGTGGTGCCCTCCATATACCTGGACGAGAGGAGCAAATTTATCTCTGAGGACAAAGGGACAAGAAGAGACATCTGAATGAACAGGCTTTGCTAAAAAGTTTCCCCAGTCAACTCCATTTACCTCATATCTTTTGTCCTCTTATGTTTCTACTCCTAGTCGAACCTAGCACAAAACACTCAGGTTTAACCATTTCTTTGGGTTCATTTCCTTACGAAAGTTCTCAAGTCACATAAAATCTATATTAAATAAATTTGTATACTTTTCTTTTGTTGATCTGTCTTTTGTTACTGGGACCTCAGTTGAGAATTTAAAAGAGTGGAACAAAAAGAATTTTTCCTCTGCTGCAGAAGAAATAAAGAGATAAATACATAGTCTTTACTGAGCCAGAGGAGTTTGGAGGTAAAAGAAGTGATTAGCTCAGCTCTGGGGGCACAGGGAAACTTCCTGAGGATGACATATGTCCTCAGTGTTGAAGGATGAATGGGATTTCACCTGGTGAGTCAGGTAAGGAGGGGATTCATGGCAGAGGTAAAGGCATGCAAAACATTTCACAGGGAAAGCTCTTGCTGCATGCCCAGTCAACTGGGGCTGATGTAAGGATTATACAGTTGCCACACTTTTCAATCACCTTGATATTTATTTTTTACTTAAGATGTCCCTTGAAGAAATCCTGTCTTTTGGAGAGGAAAAGCTAGCTTTGGAGCAGACTGCCACTAGAAAATTATCACACTTTTAAGAAGGAATACAAGTTCTTTCTCAATGATGCATCACTTTCTAAGTGCTCCCTGATTGTAGGAAACATTTCTACTTAAATGATTGCCAGATTTTAGTAGAAATTTTGCCTGAACATTTCTGCTTTTTAACTCTATGAATCTAGTGTTATTTAGTCATGGCCCTAAACAGTGGTATTATTTGGTATTCAATTATATTGAGTGTTATTACATGAGGAGAAAGAAGTGAAAATTAAACTTTGATGAGTTAATCCTTTATAAATTTAAAGTCCTAATAATCTGGTTTCACATTCCCAAAGAATAAAAATTAAAATCACCAACATCTCCCAAAATATATATTCTACCAATGGAACTCATGCACTTAGCTCAATGGCAGATAATGTCTAATCATCTTCCTTGAGAATTAAGGAAAATGAGACTCAGAAAAATCTCAATTAATTTGCATTTATTTCTCCGTTTTTTTAGATATGAATTTTATGAAATAGAATTTGCAAAAAGCTGGGCTGTCTTTGTCAATTGAAGCCCTCATTCCTACAATCTAAATAAGAAATTTGTTTCTAAAGGACCTATCACAGTGGGTTCTTATTACTAGAGATAAAGACTCCTTCATTAGTGACTTTGCTAACTCATAGGACAGTGTTGCCTGATGTAAATTTTCTCCACAAGGCACCTAATTCTACAGCTTCTACAGATTCTTTGGTACATTTTCCATTGTATGGCAGGGAAGGGTGAAGAATTAGAAGTTTAATCGTAGATATAAATCATTGCAGTGCATGATCAAGGAAAGAAAGTGTGACAGCCTCTAGATCATTTCATCCAGTGTTTCTGCAACAAGAGTTCCTGGCACCTTTCTGGCTCTCCCACAACTGGTCTGCCCTCTCCATGGGGTCTTCAGGCAGCAGGCCTCTTGCAAAATGCCCTTCCACTGATTTTGAGGTAATGTGAAGCCTCTCTATTCCTTTCCTAGGGCTCATGAATTTTGCTTCCTCCATTGCTCTTGAACAGAAAAGAAAGTTAAACACAAAAACTTGCCCAATTGGTGAAAGCCATAATTAAAACTGCCTTCCCAGAGTTTTGCTATCCAGGTCTGTAGATTTCAGACATGAGCAAAAATCCTTTCTCCAAATCCTAGTGTTTGGCCCCAGCCCTTCCCCAACTCCTACGCTATAGAGGAAGAAACCAAAGCAGTCTGTAACTGAAAGTTTGAAAATTACCCATGTAGCCTAGTTCCAGAATAAATGTGCCCTGTTGAACAAAGTTATAACATAATTGAATCATCTGTAGCCTTATAGCAAAAATATCCAAATTAATATGTGTATGGGCAGAGGGCAATTACACATTTAAAAATGATATTAAGAATAACTTTTTAGATATCATAACTGTATTCCAGATTGGATGATATAAACTCTCTCTTACTTTTTAGAACGTAAAGAAAAGAGATTGATGGGAGAGTTGGAAGCATTTAAAAAAAACTCTTGGATGTTACAAATTTTAGCTTTCCATGAGCTCCAATTTTACTGAAAGTTAGCATTGGGTGAGATATCATATTTGAAAAAACGTTAGTGGAGAAAAGGAAGAAGCAAATTTTTGAAAAATACATCTGCTTAGATTTATAATTAGACAACCAGCAGCATCTAGTGGTCATTCCCATGATCAATCCCTCTGTTCATTTCCATTGTTGCTTAGAATTCAGTCACATGCCAAAAGTCTTGGCAAGTATGTGAATTAAGTTAAATAAATAAGCAAAATAATACAGGAAATGATATACATTGAAATCTAACCATTAGTTTTAATGTATAAGTAATAGAAACATACAATACATATACTGTTATTTACGACTGTTTGCTTGGTTTATGAAAGATAGAATTTAATACATTGTGTATTAAAAATTGTTCCGTTGCTTTACTTGTCGTAAAAAGGATTTTAATGTTTCTATACACAAGATATAAGACTTTAATTTTATCAACCTGAACCCTAAACATTAAATTAATATTTTAAGAATCTTGGTATAGATAATGCTCCATTGTTTTAACTGATAGAATTGTCATGGATTTTGAACCATTGTTTATTGTACATAACTGTCTGAAATGAGCTATGAGAACAGCCAGTTTCAATCCTTGAATACACATACTCTGGCTGTGAGGTCTCATACACACGTTAACAAATGATAATAGCAAACAATCAATTGCTCAGTGATTACTTGAGACAGGAAATATTGCCTGAGGTTTTTATATTTTACATGGCCTATCGAAAAATGCATAATAAACAGTTGAATACAGATTAAAAACTGTCAGGAAATAGGCTGATTCCTATTAACATAATTCAAATGCTCTTAAAGACTAATTATTACAAATATTGATAATACGATATATAGTATTGATACTGAAAACATATACAGGATTGCAATCTAAAAACAGAGAGGGTAAATGGAAGAAAGAGACCAAGGTTTATTATGCACATTTCAAGTGCCCGACACTGGGTAATACTTCATGCACCTCTGTCATCATACTTCATCTCCATGACAATTCTGGAGACAGATGTCTTTGCCCCCCACACCCCCAATTTATAGATAAATAAATAGAGTCTCTCTCTTGTGATCACACAACCAGTAAGTGACAAAGGAGGATCTGAATTCAGCCCAATCTGACTCCAAAATCAATGCTCTTGGTCATTATCAAATCATCATATACATGCACTAATTTACAGTCTGGGCAAAAAGTTTTAAAAGTGATATCACCATTTTTTTTAGTCTTCTCATTGTTTCCCAAGCTTGGGGAAAAATAGCTCCAGGTCACATGTTGTCTTGAAAGATGCCCCACTGGTCACGTCTGAATTTTATTTGTCATTGCATGAGGTCTTTCATTTCACACTCTCATTCCACTGTTATGTTAGGCACTCATGAGACTAGAGAACAAGACAGGCAGGTCCCTGTCTTCGTGGGTCTTTCCATCTATTTGGGAAAGACAAACACGTTTAAAAGGTAATACAACCTTTTACCTGCTAAACTCGCAAAGGGCAAATACACATTGCTTGGAAATGGATAGCCCGGGTATCTAAATCTCCACAATTAAGGATAAAGTTTAAGATACAAATCTAAGTTAAAGGCAGTATACTCAATTAAATTTGTACAGCATTAGAGATTCATTCATTCAAAAATCACATATTAGGTACCTAGAATGTGTGACTGCAGCTACAAAGACAAATGGCAGAAACAGCCTGAACACCAGGAAAGCAAGGAAAATGTATGCAAACAGGTATTCACAGCACTGCAGGTACATTATTGTACTGTGTGCACTAAGTGGTGAAGGAGAGGACGGAATGATGGCGTCTGCTTGAAGGAATCTTGCAGACTTCACAGAGGAGATGTTTGAACTCTGCAGTTCACTAGCTCGACTGAGGTGGGATAAAAGATCATGCCAGTTGGAAAGAGAAGTCCATGTAAAGACAAGAAAGAGATGGAGAGAAGTAGATGGATTTGAGATGTATTTAGAAAGTAATAACATCAAGTAATGACTCCTCATGGCCACAATGTCATGGGGAATGTGCATCGCCACTAGGATGCACGAGAGTCTGGTGCGATGAGAAGAAGCTGTTGATTCTTGTACATTAAGTGGTCTAACCTCACATCTTCTCTTTCCCCAACATCATTCCCAAATGGTCCATAATTATTCATTTCCTATTTTGGTGACACTTACTATTTAATATAGTTGTAACATTGTCCCTTAGTTATTTTCAAAACTGTAATATATTTATTGCGAAATGTTAAACTATATACCTCTATAATTAGGTTCACAGTGTGTGCTTTACATGGTAGAAAGGGACTGAAAATGACTGTGCAAGCTGAAATTGTGCAAAGTGATCTTAGTATTCAATGAGGACTATTAAAATTGTTCCATAACTTTTAAAAAATCTATCTAAACATTAAAAAATCTTACTGTCGGGCCGGCCCTGTGGCTTGGTGGTTAAGTGCGCGCGCTGCAATGCTGGTGGCCCGGGTTCGGATCCCGGGTGCGCATCGAGGCACCACTTCTCCGTCCATCCTGAGGCCGAGTCCCACATACAGCAACTAGAAGGATGTGCAGCTATGACATACAACTATCTACTGGGGCTTTGGGGGGAAAAAATAAAATAAATAAAATCTTTAAAAAAACAAAATCTTACTGTCAGCCATAAATGTATAAGGAAATGAAAAAATAGTAAAACTAACGTTTATCTATTACACTGGAATTTAAAAATACTTGGAACATTGAAAGTTAAAGTGTCATATTTCTTTGTAAAAAACTTATGGAGAGGTGTGAACAGCCTTTGCCTTATTCTTCTCATCATATATCTTACAATACCCATGCACATAATTGGTGAATTGTCATACTCCTTCTAAGTTTGGATCAGCTTCCAACATTGGGTCCTTTCAATGTTGTAAAATATCTCAGAGACTTCTTATAATGTGAAGATTTGTGCTGTTGGCACCTCTTCTGAGACATCTTTATCCCTTCTATCGCATCCGCTTTCCTCCTTTATGGCAATAAGTTGGCCTTCACCCAGTTCCTCTGGCTGCATACCTAGAGTCTCTCAAATGGCAGCAGTGTCAAAATTCCACTGTCGGCTGTTCCTCCACAACTCCATGCATGTTAGATTCAAATCTCACTGCCAGTGTTATCACTTTTCCTTTCTTTGCTGCACTTTCATTTTTATTGACCTCTTTAATACCCTCTTTGGATTATGCAATTTTGTAAAATGTCAAATGAATTTATCTTTAAGAGATAAGGAAGCAACATAACTATGTGCTTGGCTGTGCTTGTGTCAAGTGAATAACAGATGTGCAGTGAGTGAATCACCAACATACTTTAAAAGAAGTGACGTGGTTAGTCACTGATCAATATGTATACATGTTATTTACATAGGAATGTGTGGACTGAAGAGCGAGCAGCAAGGTTTGCACTTTATGCACTCAGTTAATTTACTGTGAAACTGAAATTTGAACCGTGTTGTTGGGACACCGGTGTGATTTGGTGTTACTCCACTAAACCGTGGTGACTGAAAATTGTGCATGTTGGAACCATGTAAGGCAAGGACTGCCTGTGCCCACACACACATACACACACACACAACATACACACCCAACCTACCGCACTAAAGGAGTGGAACAACTGGAAATCTCATACATGCTGATTGAAATGAAAATAGGACAATTTCGGGAAACACTTTGATAGTTTCTTGAAAGTTAAACATATACCTACCATATGACTCAAACATTTCATTCCTAGATATTTACCTAAGAGAAATGGAAGTGTATATCCATAGAAGGACTTGTACAGCATTGTTCATAGCAGCTTTGTTTGTAATAGCCAAAAACTCAAAACAATCCAAATATTCATGAACAGGTGAATGGATAAACAATTTGTGGTATAGTCTATACAATAGAACACTACTCAGCAGAATAAAGAATAGACAATTGATATATATTCAATAACACTATGGCTCTCAAAATAATCACACTATGTAAAAGAGGGCAGACAAAAAGTATATACTCCATGATTCCATTTATAAAAAGTCTAGAAAATGCAAACTAATTCATAGTGATAGAAAGAAAATGGAAAGTAGTTGCGTAGGTACAGAGAGGAGGAGGAAATACCAAGGGACACAAGGAAATTTTGTGGCATCCTGGATATGTTCATTATGTTAATGGAGGTGATGGTGTTATGGGTATATGTCCAGTTTATCAAATTTTCCCTTGTCAATATGCACAGTTATTATATGTCAATGATATCTCAATAAACGGTTATAAAGATAAAAATATATGTATAATATTTACCTTTATCTTTTTTTACTGTCATTAATTTTGCAGATACTTAAAAATTGTATTGTTTTATGCTAGCTCATTAGAAATATAAATTAACTAAGATAAATTTAGTTGAATCTTTTTTAAAAAATTTGTTCTGATCTTTCATATCACAAAACAAGAATTTTCATTAAGTATTCACACAACATATTTAAAGTTCCGTGTCATTCTTCTTTTTATTCTTATTGTCCAGTAAATTTCTAAAAATAGGTAATGAAATGAAAAAGATTGCTAAACAGTTGCCTTAGTTATTTGGCTAGTAGGTCAGTGTAATTTTACCACTAAAATTAATTAACATAGCTGCCAACTGTTAGCATACGGAGCTAGTCACAGAAACATTTAAAAATAAAAATTAAGCTTTTTTGTTCCCAACGATGAATTTTTTCAATTAATTTAGAGAAAATAAATTAGGACAATTCAAAATATTGATTACAATTGTGGGTATATTGTTCAATATAAAATTATCTTTTTTTTAATTACTGAAATTCCCATTTAAGGTTGGTTTAAATATACTGTATATAAATAACAAATGGTTGGTAACCTAAAATGAATTTACTGAGCAAGACATTTGAAACATTATTTAAAAACAAGTGAACTAGAAGGACTCACAACAAGAATATACAACTATGTAATGGGGTTTGGGGGAGAAAAACCAAAAAAAGGGAAAAAAAAGAGAGGAAGATTGGCAGCACATGTTAGCTGAGGGCAAACATTTACCAGCAAAAAAGGAACCCAAAACAAACTAACAAAACTGTTTATGTTCTGCCTGGCAAGGAATGTGATTAAAAATTAAATAAATAAAAATAAAATAAATAAAAATAAGTATCAGTAAGTTTTATATTTGCAGAAATCAGGGGAAACCATAACCTTCTTCTTCCTTCGTCATAACTGATTTTTAAACTTATATTTTGATGTAATTGAGTCAAACTTGAAGTCGGACATGTCTGTGAATCAGAACAGGAGCCTGTAGGAGAGAGGCGGTCACAATCTAGTCATTCCTTCTTTCTTGTCACTATTGCCTCGTTTCAGTTGAGTGTTTGTGGCCCCCACTGCTGTTAATGGAGCTTTTCTTGCAAATAAAATTAACAAATTTATATGAATAATTTACTTTATACAAATTGACTGATCATATGGTAGTTCTATTCTTAATTTTTGAGGAATCTCCATTATGGCTGCACCCATTTACATTCTCACCAACAGTGCGCAGTGATTTCCTTTTCTCCACATCCTTGCCATCACTTGTTATCTGTTGTTTTGGTGATAGCCATTCTAATAGTTGTGAAGTGATATCTCATTGTGATTTTGACTTACATTTCCCTGATGATTAGTGATTTTGAGCACCTTTTCATGTACCTGTCGGTCATTTGTACATCTATTTAGAAAAATTTCTATTCAGTTTCTCTGCCCATTTTTAAGTCAGATTTTTTTTTCCTATTGAGTTGTATGAGTTCTTTATATATTTTGGATATTAAGCCCTTATCAGATATATGATTGGCAAATATTTTCTCCCATTCTATAGGTTGCCTTTTCATTTTTTTTTGATGGTTTCTTCTGCTGTGCAGAAGCTTTTTAATTTAATGTAGTCCCACTTGTTTATTTTTACTTTTATTGCCTTCGCTTTTGGTGTCAAATTGAATGTCAAGGAGCTTACTGCCTATGTTTTCTTCTAGGAATTTTATGGTGACAGGTCTTACATTCAAGTCATTAATTCAATTTAGTTTTGAGTTGATTTTTGTGTACGGTATAAGATAGTGGTCCAATTTCACTCTTTACATGTGGCTATCCATTTTCCCAACACTATTTATTGAAAAGACTATTCTCTCCCCATAGTATATTCTTGGTTCCTTTGTCAGAAATTCAATGACCATATATGCTTGGGTTTTTTCTGAGCTCTCTATTCTGTTTCATTGATCTTTGTGTCTGTTTTGATGTCAATACCATATTGTTGTTTTGATTACTATAGTTTTGTAATACAGTTTGAAATCTTGAAGTGTGATGCCATCAGCTTTATTCTTCTTAGTCAAGATTGCTTTGGCTATTTGGAGTTTTTGTGGTTGCATACGTTTTGTCTCATGACTTCACTTATTATTTGTATTTCTTTACGTAAAGATATCTCATTTGTATGTAGACATTGATCAACCTGTTATTTGACTTTTGCACAGTGGATCTTGGTCACTAAGACCATCTCTTAAGGAACAATGATAATATAAAAAATGTCATCTCCTTTCATAAGAGGCAATTTGGGTTGAGAGGTAGCTAAAGAATACTGAGATTTGAGGGTAAATAAAAGACTGACACATTATAGAGAAAAGGTCTAACTGGCACCCGGAACCATCAGAAGATACTTAACCTAATATAATTATTTCGATTAATGCCTCGGCAAAGATTTAACAACAGTAAGTTTTAGATAATTTTTAACTCATATTTTTAATATATGTTTTTTTTTCCAGAAAGGGGATTTAAGACCAAAAATTATATGAAAAAGGAAAATTATAAGTTTGAGTGATTTACACTGGAGGAGCCTAGAAGTTTCCAACTGGACAGTGAAAATGATTTCTCCAAGTGCTCAGACACTAAGGAAATGGCCTCTTTCACTATGTGGATCAACATTTGTGTTCATTTTGTATGGTACTTTGAGCTCAGACATAGAATATAAAGTAGTTAAAATCTCCATTCCAGGTACCAAAAATTGTATCTTGTAAGAATAATCTGTTAGAGAAGAATTTGCCTTGCTACGTGGCAGTCTATGAGTAAGCATTGAAAAAAATCTATCAAAACTGTAAGTAGTACGATCGGCTTTCAGCATAGATATTTGCATATTCATGTGTAACTCAGGCATTCTATAGGATTAATTAGGCTTCCAGCAGATACACAGCTAAATTCCGGGGTGACGAGGGGGAGGTTATTGGATGGTAAGTTCCAACATACAAAGAGGCAAAAGGGAGAAGAGGAACCAAGAGATTTTCATAAAATAATAGTCATAACATTTAATTGCTTTTAATCATGGAATTAAATTGATCAACTGCAGCATACATTTAAGATACTAAGGATTTTTAAGTTGACAACAGCATAAATTTAAGCTACTAAAGACTTGGTATTAAGAGAAGCCTCTTAATGAGGAAACGTCCCTCGGCCTGTCCAAGTTTTGAGTTCATGAGAGTCTTCCAAATTGTTAAAAACGCACCTCCTGTGAAAATAGAACCATTTATGTTTCCAGTTGATAAAAATATGAATGCAACTTAGAAATCTAAAAATATACAAAACAAATTAAATTAAATTTTTTAATTAGAGGATTTATAATATATTAGTACCTCTGCCTGATAATTAGACTTGTCAAAAAACAAAAGAAAATACTCTGTGTAGGAGAGTCTAACAGCATAAATGAAGAGCTATTTGCCTTATTTGAGAATGAGATCTATTCAAAAATTCTCAGTCAATGCACTAGCCACTATAACTTATGGAATAAATAAAAGAAAACTATGAAATAGCACAATTTTATTTAAGCTAAGATATTTCACACCTATGGTAACACACTTCCTTCTCCTGCATACAATGTTTTGTGTATTGGCCTGAATGTTTTTCTGGGAGGAAGGAGACATGGTTGTTGTCCAATTGACACTAAAATGGAGCGATATTTGGCAACTCAGCCTCCCTGGGCCTTCGAGTCTGTCTCTGAAAAGATGGACTGGAACTACAGAGCCTACACAGTTCTAATTCTAAAATGCTGAGATTTAAATACGTAATATACGTTAATCCATTCATACTTTCATATTTCCAAGGAAGGGAATACTGAATAGTGAAGAAAAATAAAACCCACAAAGATTGAGTTAGACAGCTCCTAGTTCAAATCTGCTTCAGCTGCTTACAACGTGTATCACCTCAAGCATGTTATTTAACCTCAACGGATCTTTCTTATCAAAACTGGGGACAATGCCACTGATTTCATACTGTTATTCTGGACAGAAAATAAAATGATGTCTGAAGGGATTAAGCCTAATATCCATTATTTAATTGATGCTCAAAAATATATACATTTTTAAACATATATTATATAACTCTCTCTCCCTGCTCCTGGCCTTCTTGCGTTTATCCCGACCATCTCTATTTCATATAATAGTCTCCATTTTGGTAGATGACACTACCTTACACTCCATCACTATTACCAAAAGTCATTGAGAGTCATTATCTCGTCCTCCCCCTCCGCAAAAGCTATTGCTAAGTCCTGTTGATCTGATGCCTTCATGTCCATTCAAATCTGCCCCGTCGTGTTGACACCCACTGCTATTCTATTGCCACATTAAATTCTATTCGAGCCTTAGCAAGAGTTCCAGATTCAGAATTTTACAATTCACCTCCAGTATCCTCAATCTTATTTGCTTTTTAAACTGAAAAATCACATCACTTCCTTGCTTAAAAGCTTCTAGCACTTCTTTAGTTTGCTCAAATATGAGGGGACTGTGCAATTTCTAGTGACTCCTCCAGCTGTCATAGCTATGTATTCCCATGTTCTTTAGGGAAACCACTCCTCTTCCTCTGCTTTAGGCTCGGCGTCTAAATGGAGAGGCCACCCTCTAATATGTCCATCCCCCTGTATTACAACCATGGCCAATAGTGAGCACCTGACCTGAGCTTGGCCACTTGTAGTGTTTAGCCTAGCTACTGGAGCAATGAAAAAAGTCACATGCTTTTCAAAGCATTGTGAATAACTAATCAGTAAGCGATTGCATGGATTGCACAGTATGAAAAGGGAAATGGAAGATATTCTACTCGAATATAAAAAGTGATGGGAAAGCCGCCCTTGATATTGACCTAGGGTAGCCCGAGGAATGGTCAAGGTAGTGGTCAGAGGAAATTAGCCTTTAGAGTATTTGAAGGAGGAGCAGGAACTAGTCATTTAGAGAATCAGGGGAAGTGGATTGCTGGCAGCATGACACGTGAGGGCACCGCAGTAGGCAGATTGCAAGGCTATCGTATTATGGGAGGCAGGGGAGACTTACATGCCAATAATAAAGGGTCTGGTTTTCACAACCTAATGGGTTGGAGTCTTAATCCAAAACCCAGAATATTATTAGTGTAATCATAAAATTTTTAAGAATAATCATATGAAATATTTATTTTAGAACAGTCACACTGCAGTAGCTGGATGATGTATTGAGGATAGTTTATACAAAATGTGGTTAGATCAGCTAGGGGGAGAATGATGAAAACTAGGTGAGGAGTGATAAAGATTTGTCCTAGGGAAATCCAAATGTTGCAGGGGAAGGAACAGAATCAAGTGTGATAAGGAGGCAAGTTGTAAGACCTCATAACTCAGGAGACACAACATATGGGTAACATGGTCACAGTTTGCTATGCCAAATGTGAAATGTCTGTGAGATCTGAAAGTGAAATTTCCCACTGCTGATGTTCAGCATTGAGGGCTTAGCTAGAGAGCACAATATTCTTACTGATGCTGTTTCAGACAACGTGCTATGTTGTTTCATCTGTAAAGAGTGATAAGAACAGGAGGCTGAGGACAGATAGCATCTTGAAAAGCTGGGCAGGGAAGGAAAAATCTAGGACAAAGATATATTTTGTCTTTTATTTGGGAAATAATTTGGATCTCCTCTTGCTTTTGCATAAGCTTTGCCATAAAAGTAAATGTTGAATATAGTTATATTATTGCACTGATGAAAATAAATTGTGATATTTTATTTATGGATCTAATTTATTAAGATATGAGGTCTTAGAAAGATTATTGTTAATTATCATAATTATATTTAACATATCTAAAGGATAGTAGGGTCTCAATAATTGTTGTTGAATGAGTCATTAAATATATTTGGAGTTTATATGACTTTGGTTCTTTTAAGCTTCATGTATATTATACATCATAATCATACCTGTGATTCCATTTACTTTCGAAATGAGTCTTACTGAATTCAAAAGTGCTTTTTCCCGTACGCTGAAACTACTTGTGAGAATGTGATGATCTTGATCTGTGAGTAGCCTATGTGGGAAACCCACTAGGAATTCTGCTGAACTTTCAAAGTATGGGCGATATCTTGCATCTTCGCAAAATTCTATAGCAAGTATAAAGTCTTTGGTGAAGTCTCTTTCAGTTTCAGAAGAATAAAATGATCTAAAAGAGGGACACACTATTAGCAACATGAGTTACAAAGTATTTCATTTTAACTACAAATTAAAGTCCAAATTGTGTTTTCACCTATGTTCCTTAGGGTTATTATGTAATTTACTGAACAGCATACTCCTCAGAACCTACAATTTCAGTATGATATAATTAATCCCAATAGTATCTTCTACATTGTGCCTGGCTGGAGACTCTTATGAACAGCAACAGAGAAGGCTACATTCTGAATTATAATTTTAAAAAATTGCAGCATACTAATCAATTCCTCTCTTACTTCCATCAGATTTATTCTTTGTAATTTCTCATTGTATTTCTCCTATATCTCATTCCTGTGTCCTCACTTCTGCTAGCATCACTTGCTTCCCACAAAAGAAGCTCATGGACTGGGTAAAATGAGCCAATATAATGAGTAGAGGGTCCTCTAATAGTGATTTCTGAGAATTCTGCAACAAAGTACACGACTGACTCTGATGTTTATTGTGCATGTATGCTTAGAATTATTTTGTAATTCATAGGGAATAAGAAATAGATTAGAAATTTGCCTTGGTAACCAGATCACCTTCTTGAATTTATATATACCAGCAAAAACCAGATGGAAAATTCCGTTGAAAAATTAATCGCATTAACATCACATAAAATCATCAAACATGATAACATCAAACATAATAATTCCAATGAAAGATGTTAAAGAAGTTGATACAGGAAACTATACAACATCTTGGTAAAAAAGGACATCGGCAGAGTTATAAAATATGGAAATGTTTTTAACCTTATTTAGTCATCTAGAATTTTTAATTAATTTCCACATTTTTAGATAATTCCATTTTTAAATAATTTCCACAATTTTTAAATAATTTCCACATTTAATTACTATTATTTAAAAGAATGGATAAAAGCATGAGAAGTGACTATATCAAGTATAAGAAAGGATATGGAGCAAAGGAACATATCAAGACTGCTGGAATGATCACTAATTTGGATGAAAATACAAACTATTTGGCAGTATTTCCTAAATTTCAACATATGTATCCTTTGGACACAAAAAAATCCCTTCATCAGAAATTCAATCATAAGCACACTAAAAGGCATATATGAGAATGTGCGTGATAGTGTTACTGGTAATAGCCGAGATTTAGAAACAATGCACTCGTCCTTCTACAGTACACCGGTTAATTAAACTGTCATATATCGCTCTGTCATTATACAAATATGAAAAGGCCAAAGTGTTGCTGCACACATCAACATGGATAACTCCAGCAATGAAAATTTCAATGGAAGAAGCCAACATAGGTACTCTAGTATTCCGTTCATATAAAACATAAAAACAAGCAAAAGTAATCTATGGTGTTAGAATAGTAGTTGTCTTAGGGTTGAAAGGAAAGAGTAACAAATAAAAGGAGGAAAGTAGTCCCTTGAGTGATGGTTAGATTCTGTTTCTTGCCCTGGGGGTTGGTAACACATGGAGCATTTATTTTTTGACAACCCCTTGTGTTGAATACTTCACATTTGTGTGCTTCTCTGCAGGTATGTTATTATCGGTAAAAATTTATTATGCGTATTTTCTTCTCTGTTTCTGGCTTAAGAGGTATGGTGACAGAAACAGTCCCTTTTACATATGGAACTTTTACATATGGAAGTCACTGATAAAGAACATGTTTAAAGGACTTTGGTGGTGAACATGATGTAATCTATGCAGAAATAGAAGTATAATGATGTACACCTGAAATTTATACAATATTATAAACCAATGTTACTGCAATAAGCAAAAAATTTAAAAATAAAATAAAATAAATAAATTTAAAAAAGGACTTTGAACAATAAAATACACATATTTTCCTGAGCTAATACAATATCGTTCTTAATGGATTCATTATTTACAACAATCTCACTATTCCTGTTCTGACTGTAATACTTAAAAACCATACTGTTAGATCTAAAATTGTTTAATTCTCTAAAACAAGTAAGATATTTGAAAAGCTTAAATGAGATAATGTTTAAAAGCACTAGACACAGTCCTTGGTACACAGGAGCACTCAAAAAGGTACACGAGCTACCATAAAAAGCAGCAGGGGCAAATTTATTGATGTTCCTGTGAAGATGATTTTAAAGCAAGTTTGGAGCTGCTGGTTAAAACAAAAAATGATGAAACAGTGGGCATAACATGGCTAAGATTAAAAAATTGCACTGTGTCTACCTTTATTATAAGTGAACAACTTTAATACTAAAAGACAGTAGAATAGGCCTAGAGTGATGAGAGCTGGACAAAAAAAGTTTGCAATGGCAAAGAGGAAAGTAGCAAAAGAACATTTTATGAATGAGTTACCAGATTTTGCCACGACCATTTGCTTTTGAGTACATACTTTATCTCATCTAAATCAAAATACATCTCAATCAAAAAATCAATATTAAATACTTTACAAAAGGTAGTTGCCAGTGATGTTTACAACTGTGAAGAATTCTCTCTCCAGGGTTTCCCGAGCTTCCCATGTCTATGTATTGTCACACAGGAATAACAACAACAAAAATTTTGTTGAAGGCTATTTTGAGACAAAATCTCATGTTTAAAGGCTGAACGAAGATACTTTAAATCTCTGCAACTCACATTTATACTAAGAAACGACTCACTGGGATCAGGAGATCATGGACAGAGCTATGGGCAGGAGCACAGAAGCTGACAATGGGAGTCAAGGATGACCTAGAACCAGGGAGACCAAAGGCCTAGAAGAGAATAAGGACCAGGACCAGGATTCTGGACTTCTCTTGGTGACAGCTTTTATTTTACCAATCCCTAGACACGGCTGACAGATACTTAGCAGCAGACCACACTGTAGTCTTTGTCAACCATTGAATGAAATTTGCTCTATTTACCTGGGTTTCTGTTAAGTTTGTCAATTTCGCATCTTTTATCCCACTACATTTTTATTTGTTAAGAAATAAAAAAGGCCAACTCTTTAAGAAATCCCTTAAAAAGTATTATATGAATCAGGTGAGTGGGAGAACTCAACAGAATTGCCAAACAATAAACAGATACTAAATTAGCACTTCAAACCATTTTTTATTTTGGGGGGCGTGGAGTGGTGTTGCAAGTTGAAAGGTCCCTGAGAATCTTTTACCACTCTATTTGCATAGCTACCTTATATAAACATTTAGAATCCAAGAACAGAAATTAATTGCATATTGAATTCTTAAAAAAAATAAAACTTGATTAGACATAAAGAACTACTTTAATACAAATTGTACTATCAAAGAAGGTTATGGAACTTCCTCCCAGAAGAAGTGTCCACAACCAGCAATCTTTTCGTCAACATCCTCGCTGATGGGTCAGATGATTTTTAGATGAATTGCAAATAAAAATAGAAAAACTGTTTTCTGAGACAGTCTGGAGAATATGAGAAATGACTATTTGAGGAAACAAAAACTTATACATTATGTTTTACCTTGCCAGGAAGAAACAAAGAGTTAATTGTATAACATAGAGCCATTATCTTACATGTCACTGAACTTCAGTTGTCCAGCTTCAACAGCTGTTCGATGTAACTTCCACATGTAAAAAATCACCGTGTCCTCATCTGTGTCGTACTTAGGAATATCTCTGATAATTGAAACTATCTTTCTGGACTGCAAATACTAGAGAAGAAATAATATTATCCATGTGAATAGAAGGATTTCAAAATAAAATTAAAATAAATTTAATCATCAGTCTCATGAACTCCTGAAATAGAATACTATGAAATATTCGTCTAGCTGATTATCTAGAAATGGGTTTATTTTCTAAATAAATTTTAACACTTGACAGTGTCATTTACCTTTACTTATTTGCTTTGTAAACAGATTTTTTTAATTTATTTGCATAGACAAACATAATTTGGTAATTTTTACACCAAGTCTACTGAAGAAAGCTTTTTTATAAATAAAATTATACTAATTTGCTATTAATTATCCATTTCATATCATTTCAGGATAGGAATAGAAACAATTCCAGAAGAGAAGGGGCAAAACTCTATACTCATGGTTTCCTATGCAAGTAAATATGAAGTTTTTTCTATTTTTAAATCATAAATCCAACACAAAAGCTTCAATGTCTTCATTGACCCCACTCATATAAAGAATCACCACATTATTTTACCTGATAATACTGGTTGGCTGCATCCATAACTCGTGGGTAGGTTGCACGGCATTCCACAATTGAATAACAGAAGTTAGATCTGTATTCCTCCCGAGATATTAATTCTACCTCATATGGTAAATTCGTCAAAAACTCAGATTCAATTGCAGCAAGGAAAGATATAACAATCATATAGAAGGTAATACCTGTAATGTAACAGAAGAAAGGTGTCTGGAATCATCAACTGTCCATTCAAAAAAGAAGTTAGCAAAATGACTAAGGCTCAGCCTGTACGATTTAGCCAGTTCATCCCCCAAACCATTGTGTTGAATTTGTTGCCTCTAGGAAATGCACAGGACTAGGAGAGCTTAGGGTTAATAACAGACAGGAAATTTCCCACATCAAGGGCACAATTTGCATACAGATACTTGTACATGAATCTACCTAATTCAACCCATTTCTCAATTATCCATGCTCTATATTTATTTACTCCTCAATTAGGAAGTATATAATAAGGTCTGACTGAAGAAAACATTTATCTCAGTTTGGGTATATGTGTCAATGATGCTCAATATGTGTTACTTGTAGAGACTGTTTACCTATTGAGGAAGAGGTTTTGAATTAACTGTCTTGTTCTATCCTCTCAGTTTTTTAAAGGATTTTTGACTCTCTTTCCTATCAACCTCCAATACTTTCCTTAATTTTCAGTTTGATATCTTTCTTCTGTTTCTTGTTACGAATTCATTTCAACCAAGTACTCACTCTAGTACTGGTGCATATTCTGTCTTTGGACTGTTTATCTACTTCTTGATTCCACTGTTCATCTCGTCTACCAGGATGCTGGCAGCTCCCAGGCCTGGGTTATTCCTAGGCCTACTCCTCAGCCTGGCTTTGGTAGTCACAGGCATGATTCCATGCCTTCTGTTAATGAACCACATCCTCCCGTACTCCTGCTTGACAGACAGAGAACTATTTTGATTGTTAATCTAGCTGTCAAGTAGAAGCCAAGATAACTAGCAATACAAAACATAAGGGAGAAGGTACAAATAATAGACAGGAATTTCTAGGAATGTCCTTTGGTCCTTTAGATGACAAGTCATCTTCTCACTATTTCAAACTTGATAAACTAGGTGACCTCATTCCTCTTGTTTCAACTTTTAACCTAAATCCTCAAAATTTAATGGATGATTGTCAATATAAACTTTACCTTGGTCTTTCTATACTGGGCCTGAAAGATTTTGTTCATTACCAAGTTCATGACCTTTACTTTGAAATGTGTATTAACAGGATTCGCTTTTTCAAAATGATGTCATTAGTGAATTTATATTTCTGCATAAACCATTGAGAAGCAGCAGACATATCAGATGTATGCTATAGTGAAAGTGGTCTCTAAGGCCTCAAATAAGTCCCGCAGCTGGAAAAGAAAAATCATTATCAAGCATTTTGCAGATTAGGGGTTTAGGAAGGCAACTGGCACAGTGATTGAGAAAATGGATTTTAAAGATAGAAAGATGAGTGTTAAGAATCTATTACTAGCTTTACAGAAAGAAGAAAATTACTTAACCTCTCTCAGCTTCAGTATGACTATCAGTATTATGAAAATATTAATATTAATGTCATGCTAATGATTGACATAATCCATGTCTCCACAGGGCTTAAGTAAGATGCTGGAATGTAGCTGTGTGAAATAAATAGTAGCTAGCTGGAGAAGGGGCTGAGAGCATGTGGAATAAGCAATAGAAAGTCTGACACACTGGGTACTTTAAAGGATCATCTTCTTTAGTATCTACCGAAAATTAAAAATGTGACGTACACCATAATTTAGAAATGGCCATAGTGAAAGTTATCTTTCTTAAGTGGTCTTTTAAATTGATTAGTCCCCAGGGAAACTCCACAGAAAATTGTAAATCTTTACAAACAAAATGCAGGATTTACCCCAACTTGAATTCTACCCTACATAAAACCAGAGTGAGAAGGTCTCGTGGCCACAGATAGTAAAGAAGTATGAGACAGAGATAACTCTTACCTCCCCAGCCACTGTTGATGGATATGCAGCCAGGGCCTCCAGCCTCATAAGCACAGATTGAACTATTGGGTGGTTCTGAATATCGACCTGCAGAGTAAACAGAGCAGTTAAAAAAAATCTCTAGGATGAAAGTTTAAGCTCTTAATAGAAAGTCGTGAGAAAGACATATATGCTTCCCTTCAAAAAATAGGAAGGAAGTTATTCCTGCTGATGATATGGTCCATTCACAGCATTTCATTTGCTATCACACACTTCAAGAGCTGGAAGCTTCTCAGAGACTCTCGTATGTAAAGACCCCTTCTCAACTACGCTGGACCAGCAGAGTGTCTCACTTCGCAGGCAGCCTCCGTGGGTCACTTGATTCATCCTCAATAAACCAAGAGCTCCTTCTTATAATTCAAATGTGTAAGAAGTCGTTGTCTATACCAAGGTACCACATTCTAAGCCTTGTTTCACTCTGTGTTCAGTCTGAGTTTCTTGGAAGTGTAATCACTTCCAAAGAAGATAATGTGGAAAAGCATCATGAAAATGGAAAGTTGGTTCAGTTAGGAAACCTTGGCAATAAGAAAATTGGTTCAAGGAATAGAAAGAGTCAAAGCCATATAGAGAAATTCACCTAAACACAGGAAGAAAAAAGAAGAGCTTTTTAGAAACCCAGAGTTCCAAGCTGAAGCATCACATCTCTACTTGATTTCCCTATTCTCCTTGCTTCAGTACAAGAAGAGAGTGGTCCAGTTACTAGATCACTTCTTCCTGTTTTCATTCTTTTCTTCTGCCTGCATTTAACAGCTGACAGAAAGGAGACTGTGTATTGAGAGCCTTATCTTAGACACACATTCCATTAACATTTTACGAGGCATAGTCCAAACATTTAAGGGAAAGCATGTTCCCTCCCTTAGTGTGTATGAAACTTCACTCTGAGTTTTATAGTTAAAAGAAGCTTTTGTCATATTTCCTATAATAATCTCATTTTATGAAACAAAGGTGTGTATAGTCCCACATTTCTCTGAGAAGATTGTCAGACTTTAAGATGATGATATCTCAAAATGGAAGATTTTTTATCTAGAGGGGGACATTTCTTCTCTAACCAATATGTTTTGCACCACACACGGATATATATGTATTTTTTTTTTTTGAGGAAGATTGGGGCTGTGCTAACACCTGTTGCCAATCTTCCTCTTTCTCTTTTTTCCCAATGCCCCAGTATGTAGTTGTATATGTTAGTTGTAGGTCCTTCTAGTTCTTCTATGTGGGGTGCTGTCTCAGCATGGCTTGATGAGTGGTGAACAGGATTCGAACTGGTTAACCCCAGGCCACCAAAGCAGAATGCATGAACTTAAGGGCCATACCACTATGCCAACCCCAGGAATATTTTTTGTTAATTGCATTTTTTATCAGAAAGTCTAAAATTGTAAAGAGATGGTATGCCAAATAATTTTATCAACCAAAAGGAGTCTTTGGTAAGGTCATAAAAAGACCTGAATAATGGCAGATAAATGATTGTATTGACTGTACCCTCTATGAGCATTCAAACAGTATCACTTAAACACATTAGCTATAATGACACTCTCAGTAGAGGAAGAAAGAAAAATGCAACCTTCCTTGGAAAGAAATCAAATGCACGTACCTGTCTTATATAGTTCTCCACAAAATAAGGTGACTGCCTACAGTACATTGCCTGTATTGTTTTGTCCAAACCCAGCAAAGTATTTGTTTGATTGTGTAATAAGGATCTTATACATTTGCAGTCGATCCAGGTAGTTCCAGGGATCAATGATGGTTTTGTTATTCTGTACTGGAAATTCTGCAATGTCCCCGTTAATTTGGTCCCAGAAAGGAGGGTAGTTGTCACTTTCATCTGTGGCTGACCCTGGATTTTGGGGCAATCCCACAGAAAAGAAACTCAGGAATAGAAAAGTAGGAGTCATCACAGAAGACCACATCTTCTCGTTGCCCATTGCGCTTAGGCCTGTCTCAAACTGTGACAAATTTTATAGCAGGTAGAAATCAAACATCCCCTTTGCCAGTTAGAGAATGAATCTCTGAGTAAATAATACACTGACCAATGAGAATATGCATAACTGATGAGCAAATAAATGGGTATTTGCCAATATAGAATTAGTAATTACAATTACGAAATACTATTGTGAAATGTAAGTAAATCGTTTGCACAGATAATTTACTGCAGATAGTTATTCATTCATTTCCTGTTGTTTTAACAACAATAAACAAACACATAAAGACAGAGATTGGATTGGTGGTTACCAGAGGGGAAGAGGGGAGGGAGGAGGGGGAAAGGGATAATTCGGCACATGTGTGTGGTGATGGGTTGTAGTTAGTATTTGGGTGGTGAACATGATGTAATCTATGCAGAAATAGAAGTATAATGATGTACACCTGAAATTTTTACAATGTTATAAACCAATGTTACTGCAATAAACAAAAAATTAAAAAATATATATATATTACACCATTCATAAATGTAATTAACATAAGGAACACTAAAGTAAAGTAGTAAAAGTTAAAATGGCAATATTTACCAAAAGGAATAATGAAATGACAAACATAGGCAACAAAACAAATGTCAAGGATGAACTCGTTTGAGTAGAAGATACTGTAGGTAGATATACAGCTTCATGAACCTGAGGGAACCCTGCCTTGGGTGCCTTCTGAGGCTGGGATTTGCTGTACAGATTGCACAAGGATGGAAATCCAAGGACAGCTGTCCTCAAGAGAGACCCAACGTTCGGGTGCAGATTCTACTCATAACAGTCATCAGCCATGGGTTTGCACTAGCTGACTTAATCTATTCAACAAATATCCACATCAATATTGTGGAAGTTGCCATGGATCAAAATTGTACCAGACAAACAAACAAAAACGGTTTTGTCTCTAAGGTGCTTACGTTCCAGGTGACTTACCAAATACGAAACGGCAGTTGTGCTTTTCCTCAAACCTACTTTTAATGCCAATTTTACTTGTTATAGGAATAATTTAATTTAATCAAATATTATATACATAGACGATGAAAAGTACTTTTCTTGCCGTACTCTGGAAAGTATCAACAAAAGAGAATTGAAAAAAAATTGCTGTTTTATTACAAATAAGCTATAAATGTTTGGGGGGGTGGATTCTAGAAGGATTCTGCACTCACACTACTTCTACAGGATCCTTAAATTTTACCTAGTTTGGAGAAATCTATATAGGAAATCATAAACAAGGCATTGCATGATTGAGACAAGAAAGACAAAGCTGAACCCTAGTTAGCTAAGCCACGGGAAGACTGTGGTCATTGACCAATCACTAGCTGATACATGGATAGCTTTAAGTTTTAAGTTAGAACTAAATGTTTGTCATCTTTATATCTTTTTCTGTTTTATGATTTTCCACTTTAGCCAATCTCTACAAATCTCTGACCAACACTTTTGTCATCCAATTATGGCTTTGGGAAGCTAACCCTGAATTTCACATTTGCTTTTGTGTCTGCCCACTATATCCTGATCTATCACCCTCATCTCTTCCTCTTTTACGTGTTGCCAACTCTCCTGTAATTTACTTTCTGTCCAGATGTGTGTTTATTAAGACTTTGCTGTCCTTACTGACAATACTTATAGACTCACTTTTCTACTCTCCTGTGTTTGACCAGAAGTTGTGGTATATTGAAAAAAGCACTAATCAACACAATATTGAAGGAAAACAAACTGGGAGGACTGACACTACCCTACTTCAAGACTTATTATAAAGCTACAACAAACAGGACAGTGTGGTACTGGTGAAACAATAGACAGATCAGTGGAACAGAAGAGAGAGCCCAGAAATAGAACTACACAAATAAATCAACTGCTCTTTGACAAAGGAGTAAAGTCAATACATAGGAGAAAAGGTAATCTTTTTAACAAATAGTGCTGGAACAATTGGACACCCATTTGCTAGAAAAATGAATCTAGACACAGATCTTACACCCTTTACCATTGGCCATTCTGGGAATTTTTGTTATAGATAATTCCACTTTAAAGGTCGCCCTTAAAAGAGAAGACTCAAAACCTCTCAGAAACAATGCAATGTATTCTTTGACTGATATACAGAAGATTCTAAAAGACAAAATGACTTCAAAAACCACAAAAAAGGATACTTACAAAAAAGAATCTTTAGTAAAAATTTTAACCATCTGAGCAAATAAACTTAACTTAGTTCATCTGCCAGAAGAACAATTTGGTGCAACTATTCTTTTGAACTTTGTACCTGAGACATGGCTAAAATTTTAAAGATTTCTGTGTTTGTATGTTTATGTACGTAAGTCTCTCTATATATTTGTCTGCCTTCAGATGATATAATTTCTGAAGGAGCTCTATTTAACTGGCTTGAAGTAAGCGCTTATATAAATTATTTCTAAATGTAATAGAAATTAACCCAAATGTCTTTCAAGTTAACATGATATAAAATGATCTTTGGTAAGTGAAATCTTGTTTAAGTTGTTGGTTTGATTGAAATAGACATGTTTTCAGAGTTATCAACACTGGATATGATACAAACATGTTATCTCTGTTACAAAACTTGTCAGTAAAAAATAATAACTTAGAATAATAGCTGATTTTGTCTAATGTCTCATGAGGTTTTTGTAGACAATCAAAATATAATTATTGGGAACAGGTAAACTAAATGGATGTGAAAAAGATAAAAGTGTTTGGGGTGAACTTTTTAACAATAATTGTGTGTCATGGCCTGTGTACTTAAAATATCTTCAAAACCTTTTGGTGACTTGAAACCTTACAGTTTTGCTAAATTAAGTTAAATGATAAAATTTTTTATTGAGTATCTAGGTCAATTACACAAATGATAAAATATTAAAATTAATTACTAGGCATAGATTTGTCTGCCTTTTGCTGATTTCAGAGGAACTAGATGATGCCTGGGTTTATTGGTGAACGTGTTTTGTGCCACGCTGGGAAATTTTCTATAAGAAAGTACATGTTTCTAGAAAGTCTGTATACAAGAAAAGTAAGGTGTGTTTTCAGTAAAGAAAATATAAAGAATGCAGATATTTTTATTTGTTTTGTTAAGAAAGATAAATTTGTCCTAACGTACTAGGAAAGAAAAAAAGGAAAGAAGGCATGGGACAAATTCTGAATGTAAAAGCAAGCTACAGAAGGTTTGTGGAAGTAAAACCCTGAGGAAAGAGTTTTGTGCATGGTCAAGTTGCCTAAGTGAAATAAATTTAGTAAGGTGAATAAGTTTCAATATCAAAAGTAAACTGGTGCAAAATTAGAATTTGGCTTTCTCTCTCTTAAAAGGATAATCTTCTTGAACTTTTGGTCTGCTCTTGATAAAGAGGTTATAAAATGTTTTTCTTTATCTTAGCAAGTTTACCTAAATGACAGAAAATCAATGTCATGTTAAAACAATTTCCTATGTTCAGAAAGACTGAGGTCTCTCTATGAAGGTTTTTTTTTCACCTTTGACATTTTCTGTTGTCACCTCAATTAAATGGATAACTAAACATTGTTTCCTATTTGGCCAAGTGTTTTAAAACCTTTTGATATTTTTAACATATTTCCTCAAAATTAAAGTCTCTCTTTTGACTTAAAAAGGAATTTAAAATTTTCCAATCAGGGGTCTGGCCCCAAGGCATAGTGGTTAGATTCAGCACACTCTGCTTCGGTGCCCAGGGTTCACACCTGGGCATCCGGTGCCCGGATCCCGGGCACAGACCTAACCACTCATCAGCCGTGCTATGACAGTGACCCACATATAAAGTGGAAGAAGATTGGCACAGATGTTAGTTTAAGGCTAATCTTCCCCAACCAAATAAAAGAGGATGATTGGCAACAGATGTTAGCTCAGGACTAATCTTCCTCAGCAAAGAAAAAAAAATTCCAATCAGCCCTGGAGCTTCCCAAAGATTTTATTCTCTCTTTCTATAAAGAGGGAAATATTAAATTAATTAGACCCATTTTGTATGTCAAATTACATGGGAAGCATTGTCAAATAAGTAATGATAAACTTTCTTTGATTATATTGCACAAGTAAATGTTATTAATGTAAGTATTGTAAAAATTATATAACATTCCTAAAGTTCTGCTCTGTCCTGTTTATCAGTCATAATTTTAGGTATTATCTTAACATGTTATATGTCAAAGAAATAACCAAGTTTCTTTGCCAATTGCCATTTTGACGTCTTTTATCATTTATAGACATTTATTGTTTTACTCTGATGCTTTTACAAATATGTTCATCTTCAGAAAGATTCATGGAAAGGACTATGAAGCTTATTCTAAAATAAGCTTTATCATAAACTTCCAGATCATAAAACTAAACTAAATTTAAAAATTACAGAAACATAATGGAGAAACAGATGGATTCATAAACTGCTAACAAAAAATTGAGGGGATTTTTTTTAGAGCTGACAAGATACTGCAAGAACTGGATGCCTAACTTTTCACTCATTGCTCAACCTTTTATATACATATTACTTAAGTCGGACCAGTCTGATTTGATTAAATGAACACCAGAAGGAGAAAAACCATAAACACCTCAAAGTCCATTTTGGCTCAGGCACCCACTTTAGGTCACCCTAATTTCAGCTTGCCATTTTTTCTCTTTGTACACGAAGATAAAGGAAATGCTTTAGGTGTGTTAACTCGAGAACATGATGATCACCATTGACCTATAAGATATTATGATCAGGGATTAGACTTGGGAGCAAAAGGACTTCTGCCATGTATGGGAGTTATTTCAGCAACAGCTCTCTTTGTAAAAGTACTAAAAAAAATGGTGATGGGGAGTTCTTTAACTATGTATGCTCCTCATTCAATTGAAACCTTGTTAAATTCTCATCACACTCAACAATATTCTGCAAGTTGATTAACTTCTTATGAAATTGTTTTGTTTTCTCCTAATATAACTTTGCTTAGGTGTAACAGGCTAAGTTCCACCACTTTGCTCCCAGATGATGCCAAAT